CACATGGGTAGTTTCAAGATGGACTATGATCACGGAAAGACCAAGTCTTGTTGGGATTGTCTGTCTGTGTCCTCTAACCCACTGAGCTGGTCCCCAATGGCTAACGAGTCATTCACTCATGCTTGCGTAAGAAAGCCCCCTAAGACTCTTGGAGCGCAGTGTTTGAAGATCTTCCAGACCACTGGCACGTGGAGGTTCCTGGAGGATGGTGGGAAGATACAGAAGCTCTGTTGCCTACCCCGGCCTCTCCCCATGCATCCGGAGCCTCTGAAACAAACCGATAGACCTCAGTGCTTGCCCAAGTCCTTTGAGTCACTCTCTAAGTCAACTGATTATATTAGGAGCTTGTTGGACAGAAGCATAGGTGTGACTAGTGTCGGGAGGCCAGGGTCAGTTTCTGGGGATGGAGACCTCAACCAGTAGAATCCGACTCTAGTTCTAGGTAGGCAGACACATCAAATCAAATGGAAGAATAAGCTGGGTATCCAGGTAGAACTCATTGCTTGTGTGCTGCTGGAGAGACAACTATACCTTTTTATTTTTACTTTTTCAGACAGAGTTTCATTTTGGAGCCCCAGCTAGCCTGAAACTTGCTATGTAGACCACATTGGCCTGAATTCACAGATATCCTTCTGCATCTGCCTCCTGAGTGTTGGGATTAAACGCATGTGTCACTATGCCTGGCCCACACATCTTTTGAGGTGGTCACAAAAGTCTTCTGTGTTGGTTATTTTGGAGTTAGAAGAGAGGGAACACCCCCTCCAATGGAATAATGCTGAGGTGTTGGGATTCCAGTTTCTCATCTGCCTATAAGCCCCAGAAGAAAGAGAAAGCTTAGATTTCCAAGGATCATCTTTTACTAATTTTTGTAGGAGCCAACATCCACTTAACATTGTGATGGAGAATTACCAAATTCTGTCACTCAAAATCTGGTACTACCACCATCCCAACACTTGAGAAGCAGAGGCAGGTGGATCTCCATGAGTTCGAGGCCAGCCTGGTTTATGAAGTGAATTCTAGGACAGCCAAGGCTACACAGAGAAACCCTGTCTAGGATGTGGGGGGCAGTACCACTTACTCTGACAACTCCAGGAAGAACCCGAGCTGTGCCTGGTGTGGTCCATGACTGGAAAACTCAGTGGTGGAAAGAATTCCACACTAAGTTCGTGTGTTACAATATTGTGTCAGAAATTAGGTTACTTATAATTAACTACATAAGGGCCTCCCAGGAGAGCTATGGAGTGAAAAAACTCACACGTCCACATGGAGCCAGAGAATCTTGGAGCCAGAAGAGACTGCAGAGATGATGAGAGATCCAGGGAACTTGAGTGACTTTCCAGGGCCACAAAGCTAGTAGCTGCTGAGTCTACAATATCCCATTGCTCTTTCCCTATACACACTTGACCTCTCACTGGGACGGGACCAGATTCTTTCCCAACTCTAAAGGGACAGCATCCAGAAAACAGAAAAGCCAAGTTAGGGTATCCTCAGAGCCCTTTGTCAGGGATGAGTGCTAGTCAGGACTGGGAGGAGGTGGTATTTCCGCCAGACCATAGACTGACTGTTTTCTGCAGGCAGGGAGAGTCACCAACCATGCCCTTGGAACGTGCTGACAACTGAAGGGACATCTAAAAGGGTGTATGAAACACCCTCTTAAAGGCACAAGCCACACAGGCGGCCCTGACAGGACTGCTTGTCTCTCCCCCCTGCAAAAGCGTGTGGAAAGGTGACCCCACATCCCCGAGCTGATCTGTCACGTGATTAGTCACGCCCTACTGGGCTGCAGGGGAGAAAATGTGAAGCTGGCTTGTGGTTGCCAAGGGTAAGTGTGGGGAGCGGGTGCTGCTTCTACACAGGGAGGGGCTTTCTTCCACGTGTCCCTGGACATCTATAACACACACATTTCGACACAATGTGGGGGTGAGCTGTGGGGAAAGGACCGAGTTTAGGAGCGCTAACAATGGAAGGAGAAGAGAGCAATGCGGCGTCTTAGGGATGCGGCCAAGTCTTTGCACGGCACTAAAGCGCAGGCTGCTGGCACCTCTGTGTCACCAGGCTGCCTGCTGTCACAAGTGACACAGTTGGTCCTGCCCCCTAACTAACTAACACCATGTGCTACCAAGGACACCCGCAGTTCAGCTTTCTGAATCTCAGGTGCCACCATCTCAGATCACTGCCTCAAAGGGTCCCTTGCTTAAACCGATCCAACCGAAGTTGTAAGGTTTATTGCATTGTTCAGTATTGTGCTTAGCCTCACAGACAATCTTATCACATCTTATCTAAAGATGCCAAGAGGTTATTTTTTTAAATATTTTTTTAAAAGCTGTGTTGCTGAACTGGTCTCTAACTGTTGGGCTCCATGAGCTGCCTACCTCAGCCTTTAAAGTCCTGGGAGTACAGGCGTGTTTCACCACCATGCCTGGCTTCAGACAAGCGTGTCTATGAGCGCCATTAGGTAGTCAATGTTTTCAACTGACACAGTAGAGGACAGACACGTTAGAGGACAGTCCTGATCTGGAAGGGGACAGCACAGACGCTATAAAGATGGAGAAACATCTTGTGTGCGAACCCACACGAAGCTTAAAGAAGCACTGTGTATTTGGGAGGAGGCATATTTCGTATGTGGACTCAAAATGAGTGCCAAGGCAGACTGCTTTCAATTTGTGCACGAGGGATATCGAGTGACGTAAGGAAAGGCGGAGAAGTCTGTGAATGACGTACGGAGAGCAGGAAGGGTGCAAAGACCTGACCGACCTGACTTGAGGGCTGGCAAACACGGTGCAAGGGGCAGATGTACTGGGGGGTTTCATTAGGGCCAGTCAGGCGCTCCTTGTAAGGGAGCTTAAGGAGGCCAACATACTCCCCCAACCCCCAACACACACCGAGACAGGGGCTTGACAGCCTAACCTCAAGCTCCTGGATCCTCCTGCCTCAGCCTTCTGAGTCCTGGGATTAGGGGTACGGGCCACTATGCCTGGTCAGAAAATGATTTCTGACTAGGTAATACATTCACCAATTTCAAAATTCAAATGGTGTAAGAGTGGAGTCTCTCTCAGCTGTGTGCAGTAGTGTCCTTACTGTTGGGAGGCAGCCAGCAGCACCTCAGACAGAAACGGTTTATTCTTCCTCTTTCCCCTTTCCCGTGAAAGGACGACACAGCAAACAGTGCTGTGCTTGGCTCATTCAGCACCTGGGCTGAGAAAGAATTCCATCCCAGAGTGCAAACAGCATCCTGTAATAGCTGTAGAGTGAGCATTCCACGGGCAGGATGGCTGTGGTTTGCTGAACAATGTGTTCCTCCTTAGTCTATCCTCTATCTGCAGAAGACTTCTTCTCTACAGAATTATGTCTTTGACGGACTGTGACTCTTGCTTCAGCGACGTCTAACTCTGAAGGCTGAACCGGGTGCAGATCCATTACAATTCAGCGAATGAAATGATCTGAGAGACTCTGCTCACCTTCATAGGCTGCTAAAGACATTAAATCTTGAGGTTGCCAAGAAGCAGTGTGGTAGTCGTCCCCCCCCCCCGTGTGTGTGCGCAAGTGCTTTAGCATGTGTTTAAAGGTGCAGAGGTTAAAGGACAACTTGTGTCCTGGGGATTGAATTCGTGTATGTTATCAGGCTTAGCAGCAAGTGTCCTTATCTACGGAGCCATCTTGCTAGTCCACACTTCTTGTCGCCACTCTTTTCTGGTCAGCTCCTCAGCGGGATATGATGTCAGCTGACTTTGTCCTTACTTCCTTGATGTTGGCAGTTTGCTTTCCTCTCTCTCCTATCAGCAGTCAGGAATCCCCAGGGTGTCCCTCCTTCTCGGGGTGCTTATTTCATTTATAAAACCATCATATCTGCACAGTGATGTAGTTAAGGCAGCATCAATCTTTAGGATGCGAAGTGACTTTTAATTTGGGAAAATGAACCAGGTCTTTACAGGGGAAATGCTGTATAAAGCAAACATTTATTTCAAATTTGAGCTTCCTTGCCTACACTGTGAGTAATTTTACTTTAGGAATGGATGACTTTGCCTTAGATGAATGGAATCCTGGCCAGCACTCCTCTCCTCATAATGCTTTTACAAGATGCAGAGATGAACTCGAGTGCAGGGGCTGCCTTCTACACACTGCAAGAATTTATCAACGGAAGCTCTTTTAAGTTCATAGCTCCTTCCCTACGAGTGTCTGTGACTTTCCTACCTCCATGCTGTCTGGGAGATCCTTGCTTTGAATTTTCTTCTCTTTCTGTTGTCATATAAAAATGTTGAGCCTCTTTTTTTAAAATTAAAAATGTATTATTACTATTGTTATATGTGTCTGGGTGTTTTGCCTGCATATGTGCACACCATGTGCTAGCCTGGTATCTAAGAGGGAGGGCATCAGATCCCCTGGAACTGGAGTCACAGACGGTAGTGAGTTCACATGAGTCCTGTGGAGGGAGTCAGCACTCCTAACTGCTGGGCCATTTCTCCAGTAGAGGCTCTTTGCTGGTTCTAAGTCCTTCTGGCTGCCATGTACCAATGAGAGTGCTGCTGCCAAGTTCCAAAGCAACCTCAGTTTCGGCTCTGCTTTACCACGCTACCTGGGGTTTGGGCAAGTCATTTCCCTTCAGAGTTAATGATTTTATTGTAGGCCAAGGGCCATAAAGTGGGAGTTTAAACAAAATGATTTCTAAACGCTCTTCCAGTACTAAAACTTTATGACTTCCATGTTGGTTTCCTTTTTTTTTTTAAATGATGAAATAGCTTCAGTCAGTTATAATGTCCATGTCTTTAGAAGCCTTCAACCAACCAACCAAACAAAACCCCCCAAAACTGGGGCTGGAAAGATGACTCAGCAGTTAGGGGTGTATACTGCTCTTCCAGAGGACCCACTCAGGTTCTGAGGGATCCGCCCTCTCCTGATCTCTGTGGGCACTCACATACACCTGTGCTGACCCCACCCCCACATAATTTGTGAATTATTGGCTGATGTGGCACAATTGTGAGGTGGCACAAACAGTCCAACTTGTTAAGTGTGGGCAGGCCTTTGTTTAGTGTGGGCAGGCCTTTGGCTGTGACACAGCACTCCTGCAGGTAGGTTACTTTACATGACGATGGTGATGGCTTAGCCAAGCTCATGACCATGTCTCTAGGAATCGAACCCTCGCACCTTTAGAAGAAGGGAAGTGCATAGCTAGACTTGCTGTGGCCTGTGGACAATCAGCAGCCAGCAGGAATAGGGGGGTTCAGTCCCACAATGGAAATGAGCTGAATTTTGCCAACAACTGAAAACCTTGTATAGACCCTGTTAAGATCTGAGCAGAGGGGTGGGGTGGTGGCTTAGTGGTTAAGCGTACTGGCTGTTCTAGAAAACGTACTTCTAGGACCCAGGTTTGAATCTCAGCACCCATAAGGCAGATCACAACGTTCCAGGGAATCCACAGCCTCTTCCGGCCTCTGCAGGCACCAGGCATGTTTGTGGTACACAGACATACATGTAGGACATATGTGCAAGTAAAACTATCAAATCACATAAAATAAAAATAAACCCAAAAAGCAAACCAAAACAACATAAAAAAGATCTGAGCAGGGACTCCAGAAGGCTGCACCAAGGCTCCTGACTGCCTTAATTGTTGGCTACTAACTGTGCTGTCTCTCAGCTGCAGACCTGGCCCGGGGGAACGGTATTTATGACTGGGAATGTCCTGGGATTCTCAAATCACACTTTATATATAGCTGCTCTCAATTTTTAGGTGTGCTTTATATCTTCGTGCAACTACAGCACCCAGCTGCACAAATGAGATTTGGTAGAGACCCTAGCCAAGGTCTAATTAAGTTTTAAATTTTCTAACAAGGAAATAAAAACTGCCTCTTTTTCTTTTGGGAATCTAACAGCTTTTCTCAGACTTTAAATTTATCCGATAATTATCAATTAGTCCCCTTTCACACAGATTCGGATATAATTGGGCTATAGCATGATGGTTAATGTTCACTGTCACCCTCACTGGATTCACACTTATCTAGGAGACTCGGCTCTGGCGTGTCTGTAAGAAGTTTCTAGAGCGGGTTAGCTGAGGATGGAAGGCCCACTCTGAACGTGAGAGGCACCCCCCTATGGGGTGGGACAGAATAAAAGTCAAGAAGGAGAAAGCTCGCCGGGCACCAGTGTCCATCTCCTCCTGCTTCCTGGTCACGAACATGCCGTGACCCCTCCCATGGCCACAGCTACAACCCCCACTGTGACGGTCTGTATCCTCTCAAACTGTGAGTTAGAAACAAAGAAAGGACACCCTCGCCGAGCCCTTCTATCTTTAAGTTGCCTTTGCCTTGGATTTTGTCATAGCAAAGGAAAAAGGAACCCATCTCCCCGTGCCACATCAGGACTCCGCGCTCTCTCCTCCTCTACGCAGCAGAACTGGGGCAGCTATTTCACGCTGTTGTCACCTCGATGTCCTGCCAAGATGAACGGCACCTTTGAACTGCGAGTTGCAATAAACCTTTCTCCCAGCTGCTTTTGTTGGAGCGCTCTGTCACATCGGGAACCACAGGGATACATCTTAGAACATTCCACCATCTCTGCCAGGGGCTGCCCATGGCCAGAATAAATTCTCTCATTAGTTACATCTATTGCAACTGAATGTCTAGTGTGTGCAGGAATTGTCTAGGCCTTGAGCAGGACATAAAGAGGCGGAAAACATTGTTCAAGTTTCATAATGATGAAACAGAGGAAAAGCTTCAGCTCTTAATAATTAAGAACATCTAAGTCAGTAAGGCTGTAAAAAGTTAACCATGGTGGCCTGGAGAGATGGCCCAGTGGTGAAGGGCACTCACTAACTGTTGCTCTAGAGTAGCAGCGTTAGGTTCCCAGTATCCACATGGTCGCTCACAGTCATCTGTATTTCCAATTCCAGAGGAACCAACACTGCCTTCTTCTGGCCTCCGAGGGTACTACATGCACATGGTGCATAGACATACATATAGGCAAGACTCCCATACAAACAAATAAAAAATAATTAGAGAAAAGTAACTACAGTAAGAGGTGGTGGCTCACACCTTTAATCCCAGCATTCGGGAGGCAGAAGCAGGCAGATCTCTGTGAGTACAAGGTCAGTCTGGTTTACAGAGTGAGTTCCAAAAAGCTACACAGAGAAACCCTGTCTCAAAAAAAATGAACAATAAAATCTATTTCCTCAAAGAACAAAAGCAGGCTACAACTGCTCCTAAGGTATTCTTCTAAGATTTTTAAAAATTATTTTCATTTTTGTGGTGTTCAGGACCAAACCCGGGGTTTCTTGCATGTTGGTAGTGGTCTCCCAGTAAATCACACTCCTGGAATGTTTTGAACACTAATGTCTTTATGGAGCTGTCATGGTAGGGTGGGTTGTTTCTGGTCACTGTCCATTTGATAGGTGTGAAGACAAGCACAGGGACCAGGTGAAGATATAGTGAGTCTAGCATACCCACATGGCACCATCTCCTGCCATTCAGTACAGTCCTGGAACAAGCTCACAATATCTAAGACCAGATGTTACAAAGACTCTACAACCAGAAACCTACGGTTTTAAGAACTTGGATGATTTGTTCAGCATCACCTGAAGGTCCCCTATCCCCAGTGATGATGTGGACCAGACCCAGGGACTAGTGAAACTCTAATCACTGAGCTAAGTCCCCATCTCCACTAATGAGGGACAAGAACTCAACCTCGGGCTTGAGTGGAAAAGCAGAATTTATGCTTAGCAAGAATCTTGCATAGCTATCTTTCAGCTTGTTAGATATCAGAGCAGTACCCATAAATGTAACAGGTCACTGGCACACCCGTGAGCAGAGATGGTGGTGAACACGAGACTGGGGGATCTGCGCCTGTGGGTGGGGGGGATGTGGCTCAGCTGGTAGAGTGCTTGCCTAGCATGCAGGGAACCCCAAGTTCTATCCCAGCACCATATAAAACGAGGTGTGGTGGCACACACCTGTAACCCCAGCACTTGGCAGGTCCAGGGAAGGTCAGAAATGCAGCGGCATTCTTGGCTACAAAAAGTGTCTGAGGTCAGCCAGGGCTGTGTGAGACTGTGGATTGAAACAAATCCTGCTTCTGTGTCCTGTATTGGACCCTGTATTAGATGTTAAGAGTGTCAGTTTAGCATGGATATGCTTTTGGCTGGAATCTATGAACTCTCCTTTGGCCTCCAACTTTTCCTGGGACATGACTGTGGTCCCTTATGCTCTGGTTGCCCTGGGAAAAGTGATTCGGTTGAAGATGAGGAACACAGATGTGTCCGCTAAGGTATTCCTCCATGAGATAGGAAGTTAAACTGGATCACTCCAGGACTCTACCTCTGTGAGGTGAGCACTAACGAGGACAGAGTATCTGAGTAGGGCACCTGCTCCTGAACAGGGCAACTACAGGGAGAAATGATGAATTCTTGGGAAAAGGACATCACTTCTAAAAGGCCACAGCAAAAGGGCTTAATTCTTACCCTAAAGGTGGCTGACTTATTTGGAAGGTTGAGGCACAAGGACTGTCATGAATACGAGGCCAGTCTGGATTAGAGAACAAGAGATAGTTTTACCATTGCCCCCATATATTTGCTCAGCCAAGGCAACAAGGGAGAAACAGCCGAGAGCGTATCTTCTGGAGGCTACCATGAAGCATGGCTCCAAACGGTGTGCCTGCACTGTGTTCTGGACTGTGCATCAGCAAAGATGCTCAGACTCCAGTTGAATCTTGAAATATACTGAGAGGCAGGATGATGGTAAGGAAACTATACAGACTTAGGGATTAAGGAGATGGGAATTTAAACCCTGACTCTACCAGTGCTTAGCTGTGTAGCTGTGAGCAAGAAACTCCCTTTTCTATTCCTGTACCCATCGAATGGGGACAATACCACCTACACAGTCTGGGTTTTACAGATTAGAGAAAGGATGTACACCTGACATATGGCTGTCGTGGAAGCGGCTATGAAGCGACAGCTGCTCTGGAGTTCCTGATGTGCTGCAGCGTCAGCGGGCGTGAAAGGGCGACACCACAGCATGCTTAGCCGTCAGGAGAGACGCCAGGGCATCTGTCTAATAGGTCTGTTCGGAATGTGAGGGCTGGTTATGAGGTAGAAACTGTTTACTTCACCAGTAATTTCTGACTCCCCAACCAATCAGTAGGGATCCACATGGCAAAAGATTGAGGCATTTACTCTAAATATTAGAGTCAGAGAATCTGGAGGGCCAGGGGTTCTTAGAGGTTATCCTTGTGATCCAAGTCAGTTCAGAGACAAAAAGAACTGGAATCATTTGATGATGAGAATGGTACTTCAAAGGTCACCTTCGGGCTGCCAAGAGCATCTGGCCCAAGTTATGCCAGAGACTTACTATTTTCTTGTCCTACAGAGTGATGGAGAAAAGCACATATTTAATCCTGGAACTCAGGAGGCAGAGGCAGGTGGAACTCTGAGAGTTCCAGACCAGCCTGGTCTACAGAGTTCTAGGCCAGCCAGTGCAATTCAGTGAGACCCTGTCCCAAAACAGAAAGGTGAAGAAAAATTAAGGACAACTGTTTTAAATGAGAACCTTCAATCTAAGTAGCTGTGTGTTAGAATCTGAGTAATAAAGTCAGTAGACATTACTTGTGATTATTCTCATGTACTACAGTCAGAGTACATGAGGGACACTCTGGACCCACACAATTACCAAATCTAATATCCTGAGGTGCCTTCCACCAGGGCCCCTGGATCTGGACCTTTTACTTGCCCGGCAGAAACAGACATGCTTTGAGATTTCGGGGCCATAGCTCATTCTTGAGCTCCAGCTCAAATTGAACTACCTCATCACAGGAAGGCACTGGGGAAGGGGTTGTGCTCAATTTCCTATTACTTTCTTCAGCAGATTACTTACATAATTTAGACAGCTAGTCAGAGGCAATGCGTTTGATTTTACGTGTATGAATGAGCAGCAGAGCTGGCTGTACTTCAATGCTAAATGAGAGATGACATACAGTGAAACCCACAGCCACTCCTGGAGGCCTTGTCTTCAGGTGGTCAGAATTCACCTGGGACACTTCATTCTTATCTGAGTTTTATCTGAGTTGTTATGGCATGGTCCACACAAGCCAAAAAACAAACCAAAATAAACAAACAAAAAAGCTCCCAAAATAAAAAAACAAAGCAACCCCTCCCCCAAGACGAGACTTGTAATATTATGCCTGGTCATGTTCTCTGATGGCGCATCCATCCGTCTGTGCTGTCTGCCTGTCTGGACCTCTTGAACTGTTGAGAGGAGCATTAATCTCTAAGGTACTAAAGGTATTCTGGAGCAAATCAAGTCTGGCAACTGCACGCCTCCTTTGGGGATTAGCAATGAACATTAGCATACTAAAAGCCAGCAGGAAGAGAAATCCTGTGCAAGGCTGGCATTTTCCAAACTTATTTAGACCACGGAGCACTTTTCTCCACAATCCTAGGGAGGACTCATTACCATATTGATCGTAACGCTGCTTGGGAAACCCTGCTCAATTCTGTTTCAGGGTTGGTTCGAGAGCTCTAAACTAGCCAAGGAAGAAACGGTGCCAGAGCCTCGGAATGAAGCTAGTGTCTGAAGGTCTTAACCTTTCCAGAAAAAAGGAAGACAGACAGCTGAGACAGAGCAGCTAAGACTGAGAAGAGGCTGGACAGAGAGCAGGCCTACTTCCGTCTGCTTTGTTCCTTCCGCCCACAGTGTGCAATTAATTAATTTTTAAATTATTTCATGTTTTACATTCCAGGGACTCTACTCCTAGGTCTCTACATCTCACACTAACCAGAATGACTGTATACTCATCTTGCCCCCACTCCTGTGAGCTTCATCAGAGTAGAACGCCATGCCTAGCACAGTACCTGCGTTGCTGGCTGAATAAACACACGAGCAGCGTCATACAGTGTTTATGCTATCAACTTTGGAACAGGACCTTGAGTAAATGCACAAGGTGACAGTATTTTGTGTGGATTCATCCTTATGACACCCTATGAGTTAGGTATCTTTATCCTTACTTTTAAAAATACAGGAGCCCAATGCACCCAGCATCAGCCAAGACAGTACTGGTGTTCTTTACAGACGGTCTCGTGAAGCCCAGGCTGGCTCCAAACTAATTATGTAATTGAGGTTGACTTTGAAATTCTGATCCTTCCTCTACTCCTAAATGCTGGGATATAATATTCATGGGTTACTATGTGGTACTGGGGACCAAACCCAGAGCTTTGTGCTTGTTTTTTTTTTTTCCCCCAAGACAGGGTTTCTCTGTATAGCTTTCCTATCCTGCTCTGTAGCCCAGGCTGGCCTTGAACTCACAGAGATCCTCCTGTCTCTGCCTTCTGAATGCTGGGATTGAAGGCATGTGCCACCAATGCCTGACTCAAACCCAAAGCTTTGTGCATGACAGGCAAGAACTCTACCAACTGAGCCAAATTGGCAGCCTAGACCCTGCATTCTTAACCACCACACCATTCTTCCTTTCTTCTGGGGTTCATACACAGTTCTGTGGCGAAAGG